TGTTATAAAGAATCGTAGACATACTTGGCTTTATCACCGAGCCATCCGTAAAAGGACTTGGCGGTGGAAGTTACGGTGTCTACGGCTGCTGAACCGCCGTGTTCATTGAACGCATTAGTGACGCCGGTCACGGCGGTGTCTATCCTCTGTCCAACCGTCGGTTGTTGTTCTTCGGCCAAAACAACCATTGAGATCATCGAAACAAGTAGCATCACGGACAACACCACAGCTACCGATATTTTCGCCATTCGATCTCCCACAAACTTTTCTTCTTCTTCTTGATTTATATAATGGAACCAAAAGAATGATTTTTAAGCCAGAAGTTAATCAAATGATTTAAGCTGTCTATATAAAGTTAAACGATTTTTACGTGTTGTCTTTGTCGTGATTTGTAGAGCGTTAAATTTAAAAGGTCCTTATTTATATGCGAAGGAGAAAAAACGAATAATTTAATCTGGTTTTATTTAACGGTGTAACGATCCACCGTTAATGACGGTTAGTCCGAAAATAGTACGACTTGAGGTGGCTTTAGTTACATGCAAGTTCTAAATTAAGCAACAATTTTCTGGTTTTCGTATTGTTTTTGTTTTTTTGGTCCGTATAGGCGTATAATGAAATTTTTTTTAATTTTTTAATTTTTTTTAGTGATAAAAATATTTTTCCTTTATTCCTATGGTTTTTCCGTATAGTGATATTCGTATGAATACTACCTTTTTTTTAGTGATAAAAATATGTTTCCTTAGTTTTATTTCTATATCTATATAAATGTATGAATCTTGTAATTTCCTTTTCATAAAAGTCAATAATATATATTTTTCTATAACAAACATGTTCTGTTTGATCCTATCCTTCAATCTGTTGACCAATATTACAACAATTTATGGTTCAAAGATTTTTCTTTTCTTTTCAAAATGGTTCAAAATCAGTGGAACGGGAACGGCCATAGCGTATAAAAAAACTGATACACATATATAATGTCGTTTTGGCTTTCGTATGAGCAGTTCCAACGCTACAGAAACTCACCAAAATATCTCACACATTTT